AGGTCTGTTTCCCTACAGCCCTTCATAGCTATTTTCATACCTCCCTTTAGGATTTGCTCATGTCCATTTGTCTATGTGGAATGCCTTTTTCCTGTCCTTTACTTTTTCTGAGGCCCAGCTTGATCTATCTTTTTGAAACTTCCTGACTGGCTGCATGCCTGCCTGCCTGTCTTGTTTCCTTTAGTTTTTCCTTCCTATTGAGTACCTTCTCTGTGCTAGGGATTATGCCAGACCTTAATTTAAACCATCTCAGAATCATCTTTTCTTTCTCTAAATTCCTCTAACTCTTAGATCCTTGATAAACCTATTACTAAAAGTATGAACTTGATTTTCTTATGGGAAAAAATCGCTTTTTCTTAGGAAAGTTACTTATATTCACTATTTAAAGTTTACAGGATGATATAGAAAAAGTTAACAGCAATGACGTATAAAAATATACTCAGTCTTACTAATAATAGAGAAATGCACATTAAGTCGACAGCGATAATCATTTTATACCTAGAAAATTAGTAAAAATTTGAAGGATTGCCAAAACTCAGTGCTACTGGAGGTATGGATAATTTGATACTGTTGGTGAGGCTCTTAATTCATGTAATCTTGTTGGAGGGTAATGGGCAAAGTTTTAAATGTGCTCCCTTAGACTCAGCAAGTCATTTTCAGAAACTTGTTAGTATAGAAACATTGGCACCTGTGCATAAAGATACACAAGGATATTCATTGATACATTATTTATCAATGATAGTGATAGTTTGAATGTTATAAATATATACATTTGTACTATGAAGTACTATACCTGTAGCTATTAAAAAGAATGAGTTAACTCTGTATTTATTGACATGACACACCTTCCAAGATATATTGTTACATGGAAAAAATTTAAGGTTCAGAAAAAATATAATATGATCCCTTCCATTTTTTATGTAAAAATTATCCAAAACTCTATAACATATGATATATAGAAAAAAAGATCTGAAAGGATTCATATCAAAATGTTAACAGCAGTTACCCATAGGGGGAAAGTGGGATTGAGGTGTGTGCGTGGAGAATTTTACTTTTGACTGTTTGCTTCTATGTTGTTTGAATATTTTTAGAGACTTCTACATTTGATTTTCTGTATATTTATATTGTATTTTAATATATTACTTTTGTAATGAAAAAATTAACAATGGCAAAATCAGTTAACATTTTGGTGTTTGATATATTTTTATAAAGTGACTGTTTAAAGGGTACTTAAGTGTGTCAGGCACTATGCTAAGCACTTTTCACATGCAGTTATCTAATTTAATCTTCCCAAAAGGTAGGTACTGGTGTTAGCTACAAGTTATAAGTGATAACTCTAGGATTGGAATCCAGGTTTATCTTACTTTAGAGTTTGAGCTGTGTTCTCTCAGATTTTCAATATGTGCCATACACAAGGCATACACATATACATTTTCTTTTTTAAAAATTGGGATCATGCATTTTCCGGTTGTAAAAGTAGTATATGCTTAATGTAAAAGGCAAAACAAAATAGATATACAGAAAATCAAATGTAGAAGTCTCTAAATGCCATCCCAAAGATAACCACCGTTAATAGTTTTATTGTGTAACATTTGCTCACTCCATTCTAGCCATGACATCATCCACACTATTTCTAGAACTTAATAGGCATGCTCTCACCTCCTGGTCTTTGCACTCTGCCTAGAATGCATTTCCCCCAGTTTATTCTCTTACCTCCTTCTGATCTTTCCTTAAATGTTACCTTTTCAGTGAGGTCTTCCCTTACTATCTAAAATTGCTACCCTCCTACCCTTGAACATTTACATACTTCTGATTTGACTTCTCCTGGTTTATTTTTCTCCATATTTATCACTATATAACATATTATTAGATTGAGCCATATGAAATAACTGATATTTTTTACCTGTAAAATTTCAGTTTCATATTATCAACCTAATTTATATTTTAATTATTTCTTTTGTTTATCTCTCCCACTAACTTGTAAAATTCATAAGAGTTAAGACTTTTGTCTGTTCTAGTTATTGTTTTATCTCTAGGGCCTGCAACAGCATGTGGCATATAGTAGACATGCAATAAATATTAAATGAATTCTTCCAGGCTTTGTTATGCATATAAACTTTAAAGAAGATTATATTATATATACTTTTCTGTAGCTTATTTTTCCATAATCATATATGTGGATAGCTTTCCATTTCAAAGATATAGATAGACCTTAAAAATTCTTTTGTATGTTTAAAATATTTTTTTATTGTGGCAAAATACACATAACATAAAATTTGTCATTTTAACCATTATTAAGTGTACAGTTTAGTGGCATTAGTATATTCACATTGTTGTGCAGTTGTCACCACCATCTACCTCCGGAACTTTTTTTGTCTTGCAAAACTGAAACTCTGTACCATTCCCCAGTCCCTCTAGCCCCCCGAAACCACCATTCTGCACTCTGTCTCTGTGAATTTGACTATGCTAGGTACCTTATATAAGTGAAATCATATAGTATTTGCCCTTTTGTGACTTATTTCACTTAGCATAATATCTTCAGGGTTCATCTCTATTATAGCATATTGCAGAATTTCCTTCTTTTTTAAAGCTGAATACTGTTCCATTGGATGTATATGCCACATTTTTTTTTAATCCATTCATCTCGATGGACACTTCAGTTGCTTTCATGTCTTAGCTATTGTGAACAGTGCTGCAATGAACGTGAGTTGTACAAGTATCTCTTCGAGGCCCTGCTTTCAATTCTTTGAGTATATACCCACAAATGGAATTGCTGGATCATATAGTAATTCTGTTTTTAATTTTTTGAGGAATCTCCATACTGTTTCCCATAGTGGCTGCACCATTTTATGTTTCCACCAACAGTGCACAAGAGTTCCAATTCCCCCACATCCTCACCAACACTTATTTTCTTTTTTTTTTGTTTGTTTATGGTGACCATCCTAATGGGTGTGAGGTGATATCTTGTGGTTTCGATTTGCGTTTCTCTAATGATTAGTGATGTTGAACATCTTTTCATATGCTTATTGTCCATTTGTATATCTTCTTTGGAGAGATGTCTATTCGAGACCTTTGCGGATTTTTAAATCAAGTTGTGTTTTTGTTGTTATTGTTGAGTTGTTGGAGTTCTTTATATATTCTGAATATTAATTACATATCAGAGATATGATTTGCAAATATTTTCTCCCATTCCATGGGTTGCCTTTTTACTCTGCTGATAGTGTTCTTTGATGCACAAAAGTTTCTAATTTTGATGAAGTCCAGTTTATCTCTTTTTTTACTTTTGTTGCTTGTGCTTTTGATATGTACAAGAAATTGCCAAATCCAATGTCATGAAGCTTTAATTCTAGGAGTTTTGTAGTTTTAACTCTCATTTAGGTCTTTGATCCATTTTGAGTTAATTTTTGTATATGATATTAGGTAAAGAAGGATACAACTTAATTCTTTTGCGTGTGGATATCCAGTTTTCCAAACATCATTTGTTGAAAAGACTGTCCTTTCCCCATTGAATGGTCTTGGCACCCTTGTTGAAAATCATTTGACGATACATGTGAGGGTTTATTTCTGGGCTTTCTATTCTATTCCATTGGTCTATATGGCTGTCTTTATGCCAGTACCACACTGTTTTAATTACTGTAGCTTTGTGATGTATCATCATTTTAATGGTGGGTATTTGAGTATCCTCTTTATCTAGTGTTAAAGGCAGTTATAAATGTTTGGGCTTGTAATAGAGGACATGCATAGGGGCCGGCCCCATGGCTTAGAGGTTAAGTGCGCACACTCCGCTACTGGCGGCCCGGGTTCAGATCCCGGGCGCACTGACGCACCACTTCTCCGGCCATGCTGAGGCGGCGTCCCACATACAGCAACTAGAAGGGTTTGCAGCTATGACATACAATTATCTACTGGGGCTTTGGGGAAAAAAAGGAGGAGGATTGGCAATAGATGTTAGCTCAGAGCCGGTCTTCCTCAGCAAAAAAAAGAGGAGGGTTAGCATGGATGTTAGCTCAGAGCTGATCTTCCTCACAAAAAAAAAAAGAAGAAGACATGCATAAAAGAGGTTTTGCGTTTTGAGGTTAGGTGTAGTTTGTTATAAATATAATTTGGAGGTAGATTTTAGGGATAATAAATAAAACATTAAAAAACATGTCCAAATTGGTTCATATTTTAGACAACTTGGGAATATGATGACTTATTGTTACCAACATTTATTTTTGAACATTTTATTATCTATTCAACTTTTTTGTGTGTGTGCGTGTGAGAAAGATCAGCCCTGAGCTAACATCCATGCTAATCCTCCTCTTTTTGCTGAGGAAGACCGGCTCTGAGCTAACATCTGTTGCTAATCCTCCTCCTTTTTTTTTTTTCTCCCGAAGCCCCAGTAGATAGTTGTATGTCATAGTTGCACATCCTTCTAGGTGCTGTATGTGGGACGTGGCCTCAGCATGGCCGGAGAAGCGGTGCGTCGGTGCGCGCCCAGGATCCGAACCTGGGCCGCCAGTAGCGGAGTGCGTGCACTTAACCGCTAAGCCACGGAGCCAGCCCTCTATTCAACTTTTAATGCTTCCTTTATAACTCCTGTTTTCCTCAGTCATATGATTTCAATGACTTAGTTCTGATTGTTTCCCTACTTCAAGAAAGGAAGTTACGTTTAGAAGTAGCTTTTCTGTAAATCTAGAAGACTATGATGACTGACTAAAATATGTTATATTTACCATTTTTCTGTAATTTCTGTCAAATTGTCATTTTAATAGAAGTACTTGAGTTCAGTGCACTAAGAATACTCCTTAACTATACTATCCTTACGTAACACCAAGTTCCTCTTCCCTTCAAAAGGAGCTAATCTTAGTAAATCAAATCCAGAGTATATTAAAAGAATCATACATCATTATTGTATTAGTTTCCCAGGACTGTTGTGACAAATTACCACAAACTAGAAGGCTTAAAACAACAGATATTTATTCTCTCACAGTTCTGGAGGCTCAAAGTCTGAAATGAAGATGTCATGAGGTTTGGTTCCTTCTGGAGGCTCTGAGAAAAAAACCTCTCCCTCTTTTCCAGCTTGTAGACACATCACTCCAATCTCCGTCTCCCTCTCCAAATGTCCCTCTCCTTGCACTTGTAAAGATAGCAGTCATTGGATTTAGAGCCCACCCTAATCCAGTGTGACCTCAGTCTTACATAATTTTGTCTTCAGAGACCCTGCTTCCAAATAAAGTCACATTCTGAGGTTCTGTGTGTACATGCAGTTTTATACTATTCAACCCACTACAATTATTGAGTAGGGTTTATTCTAGGAACTCAAAGATGAGAAAACCTGTAAAATTCATGTCATTAACAAACTAAAGGGAAAAAGATGATACCTCAATAAATGCTTTACAAAAGCATTTGTTTCTGATAAAAGGAATCCATTCCTGATTTTTAAAAAATGGCTGTTAAATCAGAATAGAACTAAACCACCTAAATTAAGTCCAGTGAAATCATGAATAAGTCAGAGATATCAATATTTATTTTGGAGATTATCTAGAGCAAGGTTGCTTAACCTTTTGTATGACATGGACCCCTTCGGCTGTTTGGTGACACCTGTTGAACCTTTTTTCAGCCTCGTTGGGTCATTGTGAGAATAAATGAGAGGTGCACAAGTTGCTCAGCACAGTGTCTGGCACACACTGAAGGCTTAGAAAAAATGTTATTATCACTAATTATCTATGCATTCACTGCTCCCTCTTTACTTCCAGTAAAATCAAATAGCAGTACTTCTGCTTCGCAGGTCGGAAAGTTCTTATTGCACTTTCGTGTCACGCCCACCCCTAAATAAATACCTCCTCTGATCTGGGCCAAGTTGGAGCCCCTCGCCAGGGGAGGAAAGACTCATCTGGTGCATGGTGGTAAAAGCTGGTGAACCGGCTGCTCAGGGCCATGGGCCCCTCAGATCGCCCTGGGCTGTGGCTTGCTCTCCCTGTTGAACCCTTCTTAGAATGTTATTCTGTGCATAAAATAGCAATACATAGTAGTAGAAAGAAATAAATTCTATTAAAAATACAGTTATCAAAATATTAAAAATTACAAATTTATGATAGAGTAATTAATGTTTATTTATTAATGATAAATAACAAGATGTAGTGACAAGTTGAATAACTACCATATTTTTGTAGTATTGACTCTAACAGTAATTCTAGATATTTGTAATAACTGTCATGTGATATAGAAATATCTGATTTCTATTGATGACAGAGTCACAGATACTGCTAATACTACTGTGGTTTACTGTCTACTGTCATAATTGAAGGAAATGCTAAATTTTAGTTAGAGATTAATGAAAATAAAGATATAATTTTTCCTTGTCCAAGTTCACCCCTCCCTCCTGGGATTTTAGCCAGTGACCCACAGATTAAGAACTCGTGCAATAATGCAATAAGAGAAAACAAAATGGTGTAAATATTGAATAAGGAAGGGAAAATAGTCATTCCTTGCAGGTGATGTGATTGTATACTAAGAAAATTCAATAAACTAAATGCTTTTTGATAAGATAATTTAGTAAAGTTATTTGGGTACAATATAAATATACTGAAATCAGTAGCTTTCTTTTATTCTAGCAATAATCAGTTAGAAGTTGAAATGGAAAAAGGATATCATTCACAGTAGTATTAAGAACCATAAAATACCTAAAAATAAATAGAACGAGAAAGATGTAAGACCTATGTAAAGAAAACTATAAAATTTTATTAAAAGACATTAGAAAAGATCTGAATAAATGTAAGACATACTCTTTTCCTGGATGAGGAAATGCAATATCATAATGCTACTATTCTTTCAAAATTAACATAAATTTAATGTAATTGAATTAACTGCATGAGTTTTTTGTTTGTTATTAGAACTTTACGTAGATTTTAAAGTTCAAAAGGAAGATAAAGTGTATGACGTTAAAAGTGTTTTTGAAACTTAACTAAACTTTTTATTTTGAGATAATTTTAGGTTCATATACAGTTAAGAGAAGTAATGCAGAGATCCCCTACCCTTCACCCAGTTTCCCCCAATGGTAGTATTTTGTGAGACTGTAGTACAATATCGTGAGCAGGATATTGACATTGATACAGTCAAGTTAAGACTGTTTCTGTCATCACAAGGGTCCCTCATGGTACTCTTTTAGAGCCACACCCACTTTCCTCATACCTCCATCCTCTCCTTAATCTCTGGCAGCCACTAATCTTTTCTTTATTTTTATAATTTTATCATTTCAATAATGTCCTATAAATGGAATCATACGCTATGTAACCTTTTGCAGTTGGCTTTTTTCACTCAGCATGATTCTCTGGAGATTTCATCCAGGTTGTTGTGTGTATTAGTAGTTCATTCCTTTTTGTTGCTGAGTAGTATTCAGTGATGTGGGTATATATCACAGTTTCAACCATTCACCTGTTGAAGGACATCTCTCCCCCTCCCCCGCCCACCCCTCCCCCTCCCTCTTTTTCTTTCTTTTCTTTCTTTCTCTCATTCGAGGAAGATTAGCCCTGAGCTAATCTTCCTCTATTTTATGTGGGACACCTGCCACAGCGTGGTTTGATAAGCGGTGCATACATCTGTGCCCGGGATCCAAACCTGCAAACCCCAGGCCACCGAAGCGGAGCACTCGAACTTAACCACTACGCCACCAGGCCGACCCCAGCATGTTTAGTTTTTAAAGAAACTTTCCTGAGTTACTGTACTGTATTACATTCTCACCAGCAATGTATAAGTGATCTACTTTTTCTGTATCCTTGCCGGCATTTAGTATTTTTAATTTTAGCCATTCTGATGGGTATGTAGTGCATCTCATTGTGGTTTTAATTTGCATTTCCCTCATGGCTAATGATGTTGAACATCTTTTCATATGCTTGTTTACCGTTTGTATCTTCCTTGGTGAGTTGTGTCTTCATATCTTTTGCCCATGTTCTAATCAGACTGTTGAGTTTTGAGAGTTATTTTTATGTTCTAGGTACAAGTCCTCTGTCTGTTGTTGCATTGTTTTCTCCCACTCTGTAGCTTGTCTTTTCATCTTCTGACAGTCTTGCACAGAGCAAAAGTTTTTAATTTCAATGAAGTCTAATTTAGTTTTTCCTTTCGTGAATCTTGCTTTTGGTGCCAAGTTTGAGAACTCTTTGCCTAGCCCTAGATCCTAAAGAATTTTCTGCGTTTTTTCCTAAAAGTTACGTTTAAGTACGTGATCTGTTTTGATTAATTTTTGTATAAGGGATAAAGCTTAGGTTGAGGTTCATTTTTTTGCCTGTGGATGTACATTGCTGTAGCACTTTTTGTTGAACAGGCTATCTTTCCTCCATTGAATTCCTTTTGCACTTTTGTTAAAAATCATTTGGGCATATTTGTGTGGATCTCTTTCTGGGTTTCATTGATCTATGTGTCTGTCCCTCTGCTAAGACTACACAGTCTTAATTACTGTAGTATACATTAAGTTTTGGAATCAGACTGATTCTTCCCACTTTTTCTTTGTCAAAATTATTTTAGCTATTATAGTTCCTTTACCTTTCCATGTGACCTGCCCTGGTGGTCTAGTGGTTGAGATTTGGCACTCCCAGCGGCAAGGCCTGGCTTCGTTTTCCTGTCAGGAAACCACACCACCCGTCTGTTGGTTGTCATACTGTGGCGGCTGCATGTTGCTTTGATGCTGAAAGCTGTGCCACCAGTATTTCAAATACTGTCAGGGTCACCCATGGTGGACAGGTTTCAGCAGAGCTTCCAGACTAAGGCAGGCTAGGAAGAAGGACCTGGCCACCTACTTCCGAAAAAATTGGCCACAAAAACCCTATGAATAGTAGCAGAGCATTGTCTGATATAGCACCAGCAGGTGAGAGGATGGTGCAAGAAGATAGGGCAAGTTTCAGCTCTGCTATATACAGGTGTTGTTAGAAGTTGGAATTGATTTGATGGCACTAATAGCAACAAACCTTTCCATATTAATTTTAGAATAATCTTGTTTATATCTGCAAAAACATCTTGGTAGAATTTTGATAGGAATTGCTTTAAACCTGTATATCAATTTGAAGAGAATTAGCATCTTTACTATGTTGACTCATCTAATCCATGACCGTGCTGTCTCTCCATTTATTTAGATCTTTGATTTCTTTCATCAGCATTGTGTAGTTTTCAGCATAAAATTTATAAATATATAAATATTTATATATTTATAAATATTTTTACTTTTTTATAATTAGAAATGGTTTTGTGTTTTTAATTTTGGCTTCTATGTATTAATTGCTAGTATATAGAAACACAATTGATTTTTATATGTTTATCTTACATCCTGCAACTTTGCTGAATTCACCTGTTCGTTCTAGGAGGTTTTTTTTGGTAAATTTCTTAGGATTTTCTACCAAGACAATCATGTCTTCTGCAAATGGGGACAGTTTTATTTCTTCCTTTTTGATCTGTATGCCTTTTACTTCCTTTTCTTGCATTTTTTGCACTGGCTAGAAGTTACCATGCTATGTTTGAATAAGTGATGAGAGTGACTATTCTTGCTTAGTTCCCAATCTTGGGGAGAAAGCATTGTCTTTCTCCATTAAGTATAATATTAGCTGTAGGTTTTTTTTTTTTTTTTTTGGTAGATTCTTTTATTAAGTTGAGGACATTTCCCTCTATTCCTGTTTTTCTGAGTTTTTATCGAGAATGGGTGTTGAATTTTATCAAATGCTTTTAATGCGTAGGTCAATATGATCATGTTATTTTTCTTTAGCCTATTAATGTGGTGAATTATAATGATTGATTTTTAAATATTGAACCAGTTTGCTTCCCTAGAATAAATCACACTTGGTCATATTATATAATTCTTTTGCACATTGCTAAATTCTATTTGCCAATATTTTGCTAAGGATTTTTGTATCGATTTTCATGAGGAATATTGATCTCTAGTTTTTTGCTTATTTGTTTTGTTTTTGTACTGTCTTTGTCTGGTTTTGGTATCAAGGTAATACTAGCTTCATAAGGTGAATTGGTAAGTGTCCCCTTCCTCCACTAG